AAGACGAGAAAAAAGGAAACAATTGGTGGAATCTCATTTTTGCATTATTGGCCAATGGGAATATGCCAATATTCAAACAGATCACTTTCAATCTTTTAATCAGAACATGGGAAGAAATTTTCCCCTAATTTGAGCCCAGCCATGTTGGATGGTTGGACTCTACAGCAATGTCTGATTCTTGTGAATTTGTCAGATGCTCTGCCTTGATGAGAAGACTTCTGTCTTTTTTTTTTTTTGGTACCAGGGATCTAACTTGGGACCTTGCCACTGAGCTAACTCCCCGGCCCTAGGAGGAGGCTTCTCTCTTGCCCTATGTGGATCTCTACCCAGATGACAGGGAGCAAATTGAGACTTGACAGTAATCTAAAATCATGCAATCAAACCACCTTGAGTACATCATAAGTATTTTTTTTAAAATTGTTAAAATTTTAACCAAACATAATCAAGATAAGTATAATAAAATTATTGGCCTGAGATTACATTATAGGATCTCAAATAATAGCCACAAGGAGTAATAATAACAAAAACTTGCCCTTGACAGGTCAAAATACAGGAAGAGGAAATGCTGAATTTGCTTGTCATTAAAACATATAGCTAGTAGCGTTCAGATTTCTCTCCTTTTCCATCTGTCAAAAGCTGGAAATTCACCCTTAATGAATTAGTGGGTTGAAAGAATGTTTAAAAATATATTTTAGAAAAGTACTGTGTATATTTGTTTATTATGTAGTATGAATATTATAATCATTATTGAAATTACATGTGCATAAAGAGTTTTTTTTAAAAACATTGCAGATACACAGTCTAATCATTAAGTAGTATTCAACTGGTAAATGCTCAGATGTTGTCAATGACCCTGATCAGGAACATATTTGTAATGAACATTAAAGAAATTAGAATATGTCCTAATAGGCAGTAATTACAAAGATATTACAAAATCTATTAAATAAATAAATGTCTGGACATTTTCCATTAACATATCATTTCCATAAACATAACCAGACTGAATACTTTGCAATGACAAATAAATTACACACTGACACTGTAATTATGTAATTGACTCTGCTCTGTGTATCTGTCAATTATATATGGAGTCAACCTTCAGGAATAACCTGGTGCTAATTCACTTTGTTGATTTCTTTTTTTTTTCTTTCTTTTTAATTGACTATGCAAGGACAATCCTAAACCAGAATAAATGATTTACTAATTTTATCCTTTGCTTTTTCTGGCATCTACTTTTCTTTTTCCAATTTTAAATACAACTGCTACTTCTGTACACACACTGAATTATGAATCAAAATGTTAAATCATCAGCATGTAGGCAAACCATGATCAGTTACCTTGCATGTGAAACTGAAAATAGGCATTGCTAATCATTCTAAATTACAAAATGTGTTAAAATACTATGTAATTGAGGTTACAGTAAAAGGCAAACTATTCTTTCATTTTTAAGTTTGCCACTAAAAATGACTATAGTACCTTGGTGATTATTCTAAAATCAGTATGTAAAAAATTTCCAAAAGTCTTTTTAATCCATGTTATAATGGCAGTGTTGAGTAAATCCTTCCAAGGAAATCTAAAACTTGCCAGCCAATGATTATAGTCTTATTTTGGAGGTAACTGACATAATATCACCACCATCACGTAATCCTCATCATGCATATTTGTATGTTTCATTTCAGTAATGTCTAGAAAGATATGTTGCCATGGCATAGAGATGGTATCCTGCTAGTCTAGGAATTAAAATTTGGATCCTGTTTGGAGTCTTTTCTCAATGGGGATGTGTGGCTGGCCCATAGCAGATTTTAGTAAGAATATTATTGACTTTATGGCTGTACTCAGACTTTAACCTGTCATTAGTATTTGAGGGCTTGAAAAGGGGTCAGAGGGACCTGTAGTCACAGACAATTTAACAGCGCCCAGGAAGGTGCTGCTCTCTGAAGTCATGCTGGGAAGTACTTCTCTGAGGCACATGAATGTTAGCAGTAGCCAACAGTCTTTACTTATTTCACTTTATAATATTTCTGAAACATTTTGTTTGCTTTCTCTCCAGTTCTTCAGTGTGGAAAACTGAAGCAGCTCAGATCTAAGCTTGAAATTCAAATGTCACTTTGCTTAAAATAAAATGTACCCTGGACATGTACTATCTAATATAGTAGCCACTAGCTACATATGGCTGTTGACTAATAGATCAAAGGTATTACATACAATTCTAATTTTGAAAACATAGTATAAAAATAATTCAAAGTATTTCATTAAGTTGCAATAGTGACTATATAACCATAACTTGGATATATTGGATTAAATACACTATAATTTTAATTTAAGCTTTTTACTTTTAAAAATGTGACTAATTTAAAATTGCATATTAGGCTTATACTATATTAGACAGTACTTCTTTTAGATAATAGCTTCTATGACCATATTATTTTAATTTCAGCACTCTTTTTGTCCCTGACACAAACGATCTTTTTAACAGTTTGAGAAAAGCTAGTAGGATTACAATCAAATATTTTTAATGGGGAAAATAATTCAAAATTACCCTTCATGGTAAAAGAATCAAGTTTATGTGGTGTATCTGAACTTCTTAAAATATAAATCAGTACTGTTAATGTTATATTTGTTAGCTCTAAAATGCAAAATATAATGCATTGTTTTTCTCTGAAATTGTAAATATTCTTTTGCTTTGTGACTACATTGTCAGTTAGGAATAGTGTTACGAAGTTTTTTTTTTTTTTGCAAATTAAGTCTGTTTATCCTTACTTGGCTAAGGAATCGTTGAGATAATATATCCAGGTTTTAATACATAATATAAATGTTGGCTCTTTTCTTTAAAAAATGGTAACATAAGTTATTAACTTAGAATGCATTTCTATAAAAGCTTTAATTTGATAGAAATAGTCACTTTTGTGAAAACTTGATGTTTCCAACTAAAATTTCTAAATTAGCAGGCATTATCAAGACATAATCTTTTTACATGAGTCAAAATTTAAAACTCCCTTTCATTAATAATGCAGTGTATAGGAATTATCCTCACACTCTTGAGTACTCACCAACGAATGGTCATATGCAGTCATTTAAGGATGTAAATGCTAAACTACATTTTGGCTGTGACTTGTAAGGTTGTTCCTAGAGTCCACAGGGCCAATGAAGGTCAGTCCGAGGGTTGGAATGAAATCACATCTGCCGCTGGAACACGAGGTGAGCTTAGAGTGACTATGTGTTCTGTTATTCCAACTAAATGCCACTTTCCAACAAAGCTCCTTTTCCTTTCTTCCTTGCTCAGATACTATATGGGATACTTTATATGTATATCTGTTAAGTTTCCTGAGGAAAAATACACCAGGAAACTGCTCTTCTTCTTAAACGGAAATTTTAATGCTTAATAAACAAGAAATTTATAAAGCTTAAAAATAACGGGTTCCTTAATAACAGTCAAAGGAGAATTCTAAGAGGGTCTAATTAAAAGAAAAAGGAAGGAAAGAGGATAAGCACTATTAATTAACAAAAGTAAATCAAAACCCCAATCAGTGATCTGAGCTTAGATTATCCACTACTTAAGGGCTTTTCCATGCAAGTCAGGGACCTGACAGAGCCTGAACCATGGATGCAAACCTTCTTCCTTATTTCTTTTTCATGAGAATTTGTGCCCAGAGAGCAGAATGTGTGTATAATGAGATCTAATAGTCTCCAAAAGCCAGAGATTTAATTTTATTTTCCAATTTAATAATTTTGAGGAAGAGTAAAAATTATTTAAGATGTTTATTCCATGAAGATTTTTATAATCTGGTGATTTTTTATTGACTTTATTTTGAACTTTGAAAGTAATCCTTTTTTTATCATTTAAAAAAAACACCAAAAATGTGATACACAATTATTTTGATGAAATGTGTATTTCAGCTCAAACTAGAAATAAATTTAGGATGCTTGGACTTTGTGTAATTTCTATGAAGGAAAAAATTTCCTATGGGAGTTAAAAAATATTTATTCTAGAAATAAATCATAATAATACATTAATTCTAATGTTTCAGCTTTTTAAGAGTCTGATTTAAAAGGTGTGTTTTTTTTCTTTTTTTTGTTTTTTAAGGTAAATACAAATTTTACATTGTGCTAAAATTTTTGACATGGAAAATTTCAAAACTAAACTACATTGCAAAATGTGGTATGAGGAAAAGATACACTAGCTTTTCATAGTTATTTTTAAATCTATAAACAGGATAGCTAAATAATTTTCAACTAGAAGAGGGGAAAAGCTTTTATCAACAATAATGTTTCCTTATAATAATGAACAATCTGATAATGGAACATGTTATTCTCACTCTATTCAGACATTTTGGCACCAAACTGTGGAGTAGATTTTTTAAAAAATATTTAAAGCTTGTTTTTGTAGTTAATTCACAAAAATGCTATTATCTATAAGGTTGTATAGATTCACAAATAAACATAACTACTCCTGGAAATGAAAAGGAATCAATCTTATCTTTGTTAGTCTAAGTTCCATTTTTATCTCCTTTTCTTCCCTAAATGTCTTTATTCTTCCCAACATGTTGTCCATCTGAGGTGCATCTTACTGAAAAGCAGGTGAAGGGGGAGGCTGAACCTCAGCAGGAGTCTGTAAAATACTTTCTTCAGGATTACAAAATGGTAGAATTTTATGGGAGAACATGTTTATTATAATTATATATGTAAGAAAGAATAAAATGAAAAGGCATTTCCACAGAAGCTTTTGGGGGTATATGGATTCACAGCCCTTGTAAATACTTCTTACTATTTCAAATGAGAAAATTTTGCACATATTGTACAACTATCACCTATAACCATATCCTTGTAAACAGTTTGAACACATTAATGATGAAAAGTGAATATTGGGAAAGTCGCGGGAACGTTTTGTAACACTACCTGGTATTAGCTGCGTGGCAGTTCAGAGGGATTACTGCCTCAAACCCAGAGGATGTAAGACGGCTTCATTTTCTATGAAAACCCAATTTGCAATTATCTACTTCAAATGTGAGCCACTGATTGCTGAAAAATGTGTTTTTAAGTGTTGTGTTAACTTGCAATTTCAACTTAACTCACTGGTGTTAGGTATCCATACATGCCATAGAAAACACAATTATTTTCATAAAGCAGTCACATGCATTGACGTAGGGTTACCGACTGGCATATATGTATTTTTTTGCACCTCAGAAACAGAATCACTGGAGTGCTTATCATGCTTCCACACCATCCTCGCTGAAAGATGAAGTACAAAGTACAAAGCACGTAACATGCTGGAGAGTTTGGCCTCCAGATCTGAAGACAGCAGATTCAGTATTCTGGCAGGATCACATCCTGTTGGAAAAGCCCAAGTCCCACAGCTGGAATTTCCTGCTCCTCTTTGGGGTCTGCTGCTTCCTCCGAGGGCTTCAGCTTCTCCACTCCGCCCTTTTCTCTTGCCAGATCAGCCACCTTTATACCATCAGGCACCATCTTGGGGGTCTCCTCAGCATTTATGCCTTCATCTTTCACCTCCTCTATCAGCTCGGCCTCTGTGCTCTCAACTGTCATGTGGGCCCCGTCTCCTTGAATATTCTCTTCTTGTGGAATAGCTCTGATGTCCTCACCGCACTCTTGGGTTGGCGATGGTTCCTGGCCAGACTTCTGACTCTCTTGGAGGCTGCTATGACTGCTGCTGGCACTTCCCAGTCGGGAGGAGGCCACTACTGCCTTCACTGCTGCCTGATTGGGGAAAGGAAAGTTTCAAGTGTCATTTCCATTCAGAATCCCAAGTCAGAGGTCAAGCTCCACTTTGTATTTAGGGAGTGTATTTCAGAGGTTTGCGTTCAGTCCTTCAATGCATTAGTCCAGGATTGACTGCTAGATGAAAACTTGTTTGGAGAATGAACAGCAAAACCTCTTTAATTTCAAATTAAGAGTATTTGATCATCTGGACAATTGAAAGTCTGAGTAAATATGTTTGCTCATAGCTGAATGGACTAAATGTTAGACTGTTTCTCAAAATATTTGTTTCATGGAACATTAGTTCCATGGATTTCAGCAGGTATTATGAAGATAAGAGTTCAAATTAGCTTGAAAAACCCTGGTTTAAATCACCATTATTTAATGTAGAGTCTTTCGAATTAATTTGATCACAGACCCCCTTCAGGTTTATCTGCTGATATCTATATCAGCCTGTGGAAAAATGGCTGAAAGGTCCCTCATTTTGACCCCTAACTATTCTCTGAAATCCTTTGCTTCTTACATAGCTAATCCTAAATACCATCATGTCATAGCAAAGCACCTACTCTGTATTCTATATATACAGGCTATAAAATGAACAGATAGTGATACCTCCGCTTACGAACCTAGTTTATTTACAGTTTTGGAGAAGATAGCCATGTCTGTGTCGGGGAGATGGCCATGGTCATGTTTGTCACCCAATGCAGAGTTTTATGAATAGAAGCAAAATTGTGCCAAACACTTTTGTTTGCAAATGGAGTTGTTTCCGAAGTATTTGTGAACTGAGGCATTACTGTATGTCCTAGAGTAATTTTCTGTAGCATTATTCAATTTTTTTCCAAGTACAACACATACATATAATAAAATATGGTTTTAAAAAATATCTCCTAATTTTCACATATTCAGAAAGAAAACAAATTTTTGAATGAATGGTTTCCTGAAAAATGCTGCTCAAACTTGGCCTTAATGAGAAACAGTGTTAGAATATTTGGTGGGCAAATTTCAAACTACATTTCTTGTATAGGAATAAATTTATGAAAGGATAACAAAACTGTAAGTGGTTTTATGTAACACTGTTGGTATTCCAAAGCAAGATTTGTTTTCTGGTATCACTGGAAATGAATGATAGTACCAGACAAAGAAAAAAGTCTGTCTTAAACAAAACAGATCACTTTACCTTCAGTTTGCGCCGAGCGTTGAATTCTTGGAGCTTCTTTTGAGCAGTGTCCATGTGTACAAAGTTGGCTGCTTTACCCGTCACCCATGGATGCTGGAGCGCTTGAAAGGTAGTCAGCCGTTTCTTAGGATCCAAAACAATTAATTTTCTGACCTAAAATATTAAAGAACAAAAGACTTAGGCAAACCTTTTTTGGTGACCTGGACTTGTCCTGTTTGTGAACTTCTAGATCTTCTGTTTCCAAGCAATAGTATTAAGAATGTGTTCTTTTTTTTTTTTTTCCAAAAATGTTTAAGATTTACATCACTGAGTAGGACTGCCTTAAGGGTAGGAGTAGCTGGGGAAGACAACAAGACCATAGTGTGTACCACCTGAGAACCCAAACTGGCAGACTGCTTTCCAACAGAAGTCCAAGAAACAGGTCCTAGGTCCTCTTTGAAGGAAGAACCAGCATCTCAACTAGCCTGCAGCTCAAAATCAGCTAGAATTCAGAACTTGAAATACAACTCTATGGTAAGAGAATCATACAGGCATCATCATTCTTTCTGTGGATATTAAGTGGAAAACAAAAAGGATAATATCCTAGCCCTTATGGAATACTATTTTATGATTCTCTTGTGGCTTGTAGTTCTTTCTTTTTAATTTTTTGATGTTTCTAGGAGAATAAGACCAGCTGGGGTAAAAGTCATGTTAGAACCAAAATAGTCAGTGACTTTGGGATATGAGTTGATAATGAATAAATCTGACCAATGGCAACTTATTCTGCAAGGTTTACTCCTGCTTCTAAGGATGAGCAAAAAATAAAATTGCAAGAAAGATCAATAAATAAAAGAATTCCCAGCCCTGGGCTCAGAACGAGTGACCTAGTATGAGGGAGAGAACATCTGGAGTCAGGAGGCGTGCTCAGGCTTGGTTGTCTCTATTTCTGCGATCCTAGACATAGTCTGGCATGAATTGTTTGTCCATGGACAGAGTGCATTTTCTTACACGATTGAATCTCACTTCCACCTTCATTGTTTTGCAAATGCATTCTTATTTGTATATAATTTTTTTTTTTTTTTTGGTGGTACCAGGGAT